AACTACTATTTGATGTTATTATTATTTTAACGTTCTAAAATTATTTTTTTGAATAAAATAATTGAATAATGTTTTAGAAAGAACCACCTAGTAATTCGAATACATCTTTTTATACTAATGTTTTTTTTTATTTTGTAAACAAGCATGTATAAAAGGATAGTGATTTTTTGATAATATAAATCAAACGATAATTATTAATTTTTAATGATATAAATCAAACAAATATGTGATAATTTTTTTGGTACAGCGATATCAAAAACTAAAAAAAGGACTACAATTTGTTATGTTGAACCATCAAGGGATGTGATCTAATGATAAATGGATTATCTTTATTTGATCAAGATTAAGGTTTAATGATCAATCAAAAGTTAAACATGTTCCGATGTTGGCTTAACTCGAGAAATTGTGAACTAAAAAGACAACTCGATGGTCGACCAAAAGTTAATTGTGTTCTAGCATTGACTTAGTTCTAGAAGTGATAAATTTAGTTTTGATCGATGCGAAAACTACTTTGAATACAACTAACTATTTGTAAATATCAAAAACAAAAAAAAATGTTGCATTTAAAAAATTAGACGGATCCTTTATACAATAGAGATTAATAATGATTTTCATATAATAAATAGTAAAAACAAAAAATAAATGGAAAAAATTAAAAAAAACACTTAAAAAAACAACCATTTATTACTTTTACTTTTCGTACCAAGTGATAAAATTAGAATAGAAAAACGAAAGATGCAAATTCATTGAAAAATATCAAAAGTCTTTTATTTGTACTTTCATTTCATCCTATTGATAAGATTTCCACATCATGAAACATTATATCGTTAGTCGATCAAAAGAATATATATATATATATATATATATATATCTATGTGTGTGGTTCCACATCATGAAACATTATATCGTTAGTCGATCAAAAGAATATATATATATATATATATATATATATATATATGTGTGTGTGTGTGTGTGTGTGTGTGTGTGTGTGTGTGTGTGTGTGTGTGTGTGTGTGTGTGTGGTTCCATTGGTTAATTATATTTTTCATATCGTTGCATAAGTTAATTATTAGAGTCCAATTCAACATTAGGAAATCGAAAAGAGACAAATGGAGTTGTGTGGGGATGATTTTTTATAATTCTTATCATAAAAAGAATTCCATTAGAAAAAAAAAAACACTATAAATGGGTGAAGGGAAATTGTAAATAAAGAAATATTCAAATAATAAAAATTGAAGCACTTTTACCACCTATATCAATAAAAACAACTAAAAGCAACTAAAAGGATAGAATGAATTACTATTCATTCATTGTCATTCCCTTACAAATCATTAACATTTTTTATAATTTTAGACAATGGTATTTTTATTATTTTTGGCTGTTTTTAGGGTTCATTTGCAAATTTTATATTATATTTTATTTTGGTCTTAATGTTTTTAAAAGCTTTTTTGGTCTTTGATGTTTTAAAAAGATATTTTTGACCCTTTATATTTTCATTTTATTCCATTTTAGTCCCTCTTTTTTAAAAAGATATCTATAGCCCATCAAGCTTTCATATTTTAGAATATATATATATATATATATATATATATATATATATATATATCAAATTATATTATTTTTTATTTCTTAAAATTAATCTCTTCAAGTTGTCATTTTTATGAAAATTCTAATCAAATTATTATTTTTTTCTTTTTTATTTAATTCATTTTGTTAATAAATATGATTTATTTTTCTCTATGTATAAATTTTTTAATAATTTTTTAAATAAATTATCAATAAAATGATAGAATTTACGTATTTTATTTATTTATTCTTTATATAATCAAATTTAATCGGAATAAATTTTTTTAATTATTTTTACTGCACTCTATTGACTTCAATACATTCCTTAAAATTTAATTTTTTTAAAAAATATTTATTAATTTATATTAATTTTTTTAAAAAATATTTATTAATTTATACTGCACACTCTAACCATGGTCATGATGTATAATAAAAATTATTGAGATCATTGGTTTTATTATAAATTAACTACTATTTTCTACTAGTATTATTATTTTAATATTCTAAAATTATTTTTTGAATAAAATAATTAAATAATGTTTTAGAAAGAACTGCCTAGTAATTCAAATACATCTTTTTATGCTAATATTTTTTTATTATTTTGTAAAAAATTATATATAAATCAAATGTACATATTTTCAAAATAGTTTAAAAAAGGTGTTAATTAATTTTTATACAATTTTTTCTATTGATTATTTTATTTATTTATTCGATGCAATTTTATGAAAAATAATATTAAGAAGTTTTTATTTTTATATTAAATTTTCTATTTATATTATTACATATTTTTTTTATTAGGTATCCAATTTACAATAAAATACATGCTATCAAATTGAAAAACAAAATTTTGATTAAGAATTATGAAAATATTGATTGTACATTAGCTTTTCAAACCAATCCGTGTATATGTTTTTTGACAATCAAAATTATGGCTCTGTTCTATTACTGTATTTCAATTCTAAAAATCATCAACTTTTTTATTGCGAATACAAAAAAAAAATATAATAATGCTACCGCCATGTATAATATCAATGCTCACAAATAATAGATCTTAACTCATTAAATGTCCTCTACTTCATTTAGATGACTTAACTCATTAAATATCCTTTACTTCATTCAGATGCCTATGCCAATCCCACAATAGAGAACGAGTAACTACTGAATACACACTAATATATTAAGAAAATATTTGGGCCAAGGGGCGACGAAGGCTCCCTTCTGCCCCCAAGCCTCAGCCATGTATTTTGTCATTTTTTTTATATCGAAAGATAGTGATTTTTTGATAATATAAATCAATTAAACAATAATCATTAATTTTTAATGACATAAATCAAACAAATATGTGATAATTTTTTGGTACAATGATGTCAAAAACTTAAAAAAGAACTATAATTTGTTATGTCAAACTATAAAAGGATGTGATCTAATGGTAAATGGATTGTCTTAATTTGATCATAACTAAGGCTCAAGTGCTACTCGTGTTTGACTGATTTGATTTAAAAAAATAATTTAGTGATCGATTAAAAATTAACTCGTTCGATACCGATTTAACTTGAGAATTGATGGAATAAATAGACAACTCAATGGTCAACCAAAAATTAAGCATGCCCCGGCGCTTTCTTAATTCAAAAAGTGATGAATTTAGTTTTGATTAATGCGAAATTTGGCTCAAATACAACCAATTATCTATAAATATTAAAGAGAAAAAAATTGTTGTGTTGAAAAAATTAGATAAAACCTTTACACAATAAAGATCGGCAATGATTTTCAGATGATAAGTAGTTAAAAATAAAAAATCAATGGAAAAAAATTTAAAAATAATTAAAAAATAACCATTTACTACAATAGAAAAATGAAAAATGCAAATTCATTGGAAAAAGTCAAAAGTCTTTTCATGAACGTTAACAAAAACTTATGGAAATTTTTAATAAAAATAGCTCAAGATGAGATTTTTTTTTTTAACACATCCACAATTGAGTTCAGTACCATCATAAATCAACGAAAGAGCATGCTGCACTATTAAGTTCTATTGATGAAAAATCTCAATCTTTAAAAACTATTAAAAATCATCATTCTCTTTCAAACAATAAAAAACATCCATCGCAATTTAACAAAGGGACATTAAAACTTTATTTCAAAAATAAAATATCCTTACAAATTAAGAATTTTATGTAGAAATTAAATTTAGATCTAAATGGTTAGAAAAAAAAAATTACCGGCCACAGTTAGATATATATTTTTCCGTAAGAGAAAACAAAGGAAAAAGTGAGATAATACGACTAGCTATGTATTTTATGATTGATTGGGAATATTACCAGATTAAGTATTAAATATTTGCATATTAAGTTTTACAGGATCACACTTTTTTTTAAACAAATTTATTGTTTCTGTATTAGTACATAAACGTGTTAAAACAATCAAATTCCTTAGTCAATGTTCGAGGAAAAAGAATTAGCAACTGTCGGCCTGTCCTCAAAAGCTGAGGTTCGCTTTTTTTGTTTTTTTTTAAAAAAGAAGGTACCACTAAAGCCACTTATTTTCCACTGAAAGATGCTACATAAGGAGTAAATTATAAATTAATATCTGAAGAAATGAATGAATTAGTTTTTATTTAAAAAGTTAATAATTTATTTATTTATGTTTTAATTTCATCAATTTTTTTTTATAAATTTTATAAATTAATGATTTTTATCTTAAATTTTTTTAGTTTTAATTGAGGAATGAAAGGTAGTAGGTAAAAAAAATAAAGTATTAAAAAAAGACAACGTAGAAAAAAATTATTAATCTAATAAAAATGGTGAAAAAAATAAATTATTAATGTAATTAAAATATAAAAAATTAAATAATTTAGTTTTTTAAAAAACAGGATGAATTAATTATTTTTTTAAGACGGAAGGGATTAATTTATAATTCACTCGGTACATCAGCGGGAAAGTAAAATGGACTTTTTTTTCCAATCGAAAAAAATTAAAATTTTAAAATAACACTCATATTATATTTTTCTAAAAAGAACGCACGTTAGGCCAACTTGGAGCCCACTCTGCTTTTTCAGTCTGCCTGACCACCAAAAGGTAACAGCCGTCCATTCTCTCATCACCGCATCTTTAAATGCCACGTGTCATTGCCTTTAGAAATATTGCATCCACCACCGTCCTTCATTGTCCCCACGTATAAAAGCAAACCTCCCATACGATCAGTTAACGTCGTCAACTCCTCGATCCTTTCAAATCTTAACACCGTCAACTCAACCTTCTCTTTTCAACTTGAACAAAACCACCAGGTTCGTAAACTCAAACTTCAGGCTCGGACCCACACCTACGATTTAAATATCCCTCACATACTTTTTACCCTCGCACCCCTCTGTGTATCTCTCTCTTTCTTGCGCCGAGATTTACCGAAAATTTTTAAATTTCAATTTGAAAGATCCAGATTATAATGGCGGAGGCATCTGAGAGTCCGATTGAGTCAGTCATGGAGAAGATTAGCGAGAAGTTTCATCATCACGAATCTTCGTCGTCGGATTCGGAGTCCGATTCAGAGAAGAAATCGCATCCATCCGAGTCGGTGAAGGCCAAGATTTGGCGGTTGTTTGGTAGAGAAAAGCCTGTTCATCATGCTCTCGGTGGTGGAAAGCGTACGGTCACTTGGAACCTGCTTTATTTATTAAACTTTCGTTTTATGATTTTATTTATTTTATTGACGATATAGTTTTTTTTTTTGAAAAATATTTATTGGGTAAATTTTGATTGTTTATTACTTATTTTTTTAGTTTGTTCCTTATGGAGACCAGAATGATTCAGATTTAGTCGTTTTTTTTCTCTTGCGGTGTTTGGTTGCTGAGAAATTAAAGAAAAAAATGAGTGTATGGTTAATGTGGTAATTTTTGTTCAGCTGCTGATGTGCTTTTGTGGAGGAACAAGAAGGTTTCAGCTGGTGTACTTGGTTTTGCGACTGCAATCTGGGTCCTTTTTGAGTTGATTGAATACCATCTGCTTACTCTAGCATGCCATATTTTGATACTCTCTCTTGCACTCTTGTTTCTGTGGTCTAACGCTCACACTTTTATCAACAAGTAATATTCTCATTCTTGAAGCTTGTAGCCTCTTTAATTGGTTTAAGAATTTATGTACTTTGGTGGAGGTATTGACTCTACCTCAGGCTGGGAGCGGGTTGTTTGTAATTTTCTTTCCTACATTGTTTTGTAGGAGTCCACCTCGCATCCCACAAGTTCATATTCCAGAGGAACCAGTCCTGCAGGTTGCTTCAGCACTGTGTGTTGAGATCAACGGTGCATTTGCGGTCTTGCGCAGTATTGCAGCAGGAAAAGACTTGAAGAAGTTTCTCATTGTATGTTTCTTGTATATCTCATTAGGTTTTTTTTTTTTTTTCCGGGTTCATCTTGCACTTTAATTAGACCATTTAATATTTCTGCTTTATATTTTTTCAAGAGAGTAATTCTTATTACTGCTACATGTGGATCTGTAACTGCTGTTGAGCTCTGCATTATTTGGTCATGAATGTGTTATTGCTGGTTTTCATCGTTTTGCCTACTTCGACTAATTATATTGAGTTGGATAATTGCTTTTGGTTCACATCGTGATTCCTAAAATTGCTTGTATGTTTTATTGTCAGGTTATTGCTGGATTGTGGGTCATGTCAATTGTGGGGAGTTGCTGCCATTTCTTGACCGTGTTTTATATATGTAATGACTTTTGAAGCTGATTTTATGCAGTTTGTTTAACCATGCGTTAGATATTATATACTGAAACTTTTCCATGATGTTAACAGGCTTCGTTTTGCTGCACACTGTACCTGTTGTCTATGAGAAGTACGAGGACAAAGTTGACCCCTTGGCAGAGAAGGCAATGATGGAGATCAAAAAGCAATATGCAGTCTTCGATGCTAAGGTTCTCAGCAAGATCCCAGTGGCTGCTTTGAAAGCCAAGAGTGTTTAGATTGGCTGCTTCTTGTGTTTCCAGCAAACACTGGGTAATCATGGTTTGCAGTTGTGATTGCTTTATCCATAATTTGCTAGGGCTTCATTTTGTTCTTCACCCCACTAATTGTTTTAAAAGTGTTTGGGTTGCATTTTGAATGAATTTTGTCTTTCACGGGGTTACTTTTGAAGATGGAGGTTTAATTTGTACCCCACGGCCTATGGCCAGTTTGCAGATAGCACCTTATAATGGTGTTTTTTCATGAGTTCAGTGTACATGAGTTTATCTTTTACGTTTTGGACCATTTTGCTCCCGGTATTTTATGATGTTTGTGGCATGCGTTTGCCCTCATGATTGCGGCAATGATCTACCTGAACTGACCTAAAAAAAGTAGATGCTGGCTCAGAAACACTTCCTCCTTGGCTATCGGGGGTAAGGTCAGGAGATTTGCGTGCAGGGCCGAAATGCTATTTCAGTATGGAATTGTGAATGTCATTGGATGAAATCAACTTGGCATTTTGTAGATAGCCGTTGTGTTATAGGATAATCTGGCATCCAAGATGTCTGGCTAACAGAGAACTGTTTGTGATGTTGTGTAAAACTATACATGGGTGGCCCAGCACAAGCGAGGGGAAGCCAAGCAGCAGAAGTTGGGGAGCGGCCAGAGATTGTGCCTTCAGAGTCACAGGCTTCTTCATAAAATTTGGATCTTCTGCATCTAACTGCTCCTCTCGAATCATAACTAAGGCAACTCTTGAGTTTTCTACAGCTACGTCAAGGAAAGAGCAACCGTTTTAAATATTTTGATGCGTATACTTTTTGGCAGCGGAGAGGAATGGCAGAACTCCTGACCTTACGAGATAGAGGGCCCAGTACCGGCCCACTTCTCTTCTAGCGACAAATTCTTCTAGCTTGGATGCTGCGAATGAGATAGATTGAATGAAAGCATTGGATCAGCCACTAATCGAGCATCCAGTTCCTTTCATGGCTACATGCACTTAAACTAGATGAAAATGGCAGGAAAATTGCATTCTGCCATTAGGATGGAGATAACGAATTGTGATTATTATCTGACAGAGTGCTAACATGATTAATTGGTGAATGACCACGAGATAGCTATTTGGGGCAAAAAGAACACTTCTCATTTCACTCTGAAAGAATTGATTGAACGGGATACAACATCAATGAACAATCTATACCTTTGATTAATTATGTAACAATTCAACATATTGTCAATGTTTTGTGAGTAGTCTTGAAATCCGAGAAGTGTTGTCGAAGGATGTTAAAGGAACTGTCGAGAACTCAGAATCAGACTGTGCAAATGGCGGTAAATTTCCCTGAGGGGCCACAGGACCATAATTTTGGGAGGGAGAAAAATTTGGTCCAGATATGCCAGATGTGCTAGTTCCATGGTTGAGCACAGGCGAAACCACCCCAGCAGCATCTGGACTCCTTCCATGTGACTCTTTGAAGGGTCTACCTGCATCTTGCCCAGATTCCCTCTTTTCCCTTTCTTCAGTTTCCTTGAGAAGAAAATCAACCCACATATCTGCAAAGGACTGGAGAAATATATACTTGAGATGAAATTGCACTTCTCTCCAAGCAAAATATACACTGGTAAAAATCATACTGAGATAGCCGATTATCTTTTAACAGACAGCACACATCATCCTTTCCTAATAGCAAATTATACACCACAAAGAGGGGTGGAAACAGAGCTACTTGTACATGAATATCAAAAAGCCCATACCATAATCAAATCACTTATTTACAGATCAGCTATTAAACATCAGGAAAGAAGAAAAAAAAACCAACCTGGTTATCAGATGCCAAATTCGTTTGAACATCAGCTGCACTTCCACCTAAGATTCCACCAACTAGGCGACCAGGCAGACCCAAAACTCCACGAACAACACCTTTGCCACCTTGTTGAGCAACACCTATTCTCTGCTTGTCTTCATCAGAGAACCCAAGCATTCGAACCATAAGATCCAAAACCTGGAACCCGCCATACAAGATGAGAGCATAAGCTATGTCAAATTGGATAGGGGCTGTCAAGGGGATGAGAAACCAGAAGCAATAATCCTTCTAGCAATTTAAATAGCAATGCTATGTGAGAGCAGCAATACAATATGGATTCTTTTCAAAGAAGGATCTGTTGAACTTGAGATGTCTTTTAACCAAAGGTTCTCCAGCAAAAAACCAAAAAAAAAAAAAGACATTTATGTAGGGTCAAGTTTTCCTTGGATGGATAACAAACATAACGTTGAAAGACTGAGATTATCTTTTTTCGTTAATTTTTTATCCTGTTCAACTGTACTAAGAGATTCATACCTCTTTGCTGTGGTTTCTCTGGAAGTAGGTCACTAGTAATTTAATCACAATGCGCCTGCCATAAAAGCCAGTCATACATTATGCAATTTCCAATCCCAACAATGGATAAGTAGTACAAGACATCTCACTAACTTGTAAATATGATGTAACCCATGTACAACTAAGTAGTCGACTTGGATACAAAACAATAATCAAAACTCGGAATCACACAAGAAACAGGCTAACCTGTCAACCAGATAATCAGAATCCATGGACATCCTATTGAGTCTGCTCATGCTCTGCTCAACAGCACGACGAAGTTTTGCATTGTCTTCTTCAAGCTTATTCACTCTGTTCTTCCCTTCTGCAAACTTCCTTTCAACATCTGAAAGCTTGGCTAAAATTTCTTCTTTTTCCCTCTTTGATTCCTCTGTTCCTCTCTCTGCTTCCTGAAGGAATCAAGGCATATGTAAACAATAACACAAAAATAACTTTTACAAAATAAAATAAACCATTATTTTTCTACGCCTGCAAAAGCAGTAAAACATGATTTGGCTAGAAGCAACACTCATCAGCCAAATAAAACAGCAACTTCATTCTTAGCAACATTCTTAGCAAAACTCAGGAAACTATAGCGATGCTGCAAAATGACTATTAAAACAAGAATATACTACAGGCAATTGAAAACAAAAAAAAAGTAGAATACAGTGTTAATTAGGTTCTTTCTTTTCGAAATTAATCAGATAAGTTCAATGACAAAATTTCAATGCACCAACTGTAGATAAGGTTGTGCACATGACAGTATCTCATCAGCCCAAGACTTTAAAACCTTACAGAACAGAAACTTTATTCACGGAGAAAAATTAGGAACTTGTAATAACACTGCAAAAAGCATATTATAACCAAAAATACCTTGATAAGCATTTGAACATCAAAGTGTAGGATGCTTTGGCCTTTGAACACCAGAAGAAGATTTACTTCTTGAATAGAAAAAATTTTTTTATTGAGGACACGTAATGTCAAAATTCAAATGTGTCATCATTAGATAAGGTTGTACATGTACCATATCACATCAGTCCAATGATACAAAAACTTATAGAAGCCTTGCTTAGTCTCAAATCTCAATAGACTTTGTACATTCATGGAAGAACATCCCTCTAAAAGGATAGTTCAATGTTGCTCATAATAAAGACATCAAATTCCAGTCATGCAGTTATGAAGACATCCAATTCACATCACAAAACATTCAGAAAAGTAAAATATTATACATAAAAGAAATTTAAGTATTTTCAGGAGTAATCCCAGCAGTTTGACAATTTTAAAATTAAAGGTTTAGACAACTAAATAATACTTCGAAGGATAAGGGAGGTGCGGCCATACTTTCAAAAGTTGAAAATGCTTAGCTGATTCTTCTCTTGTCAAAGCCAACTGTCGCTCCAAATATTCCTGATAAAATAACAACAACAACAAGCACAATGGTTACCAAAAAAATCTGGAGGCTACAAGACATCCAACAGAACCTGTAGGAAACAGAAGCAAAGATTACCTTTGCTTCAACTTCGGCAAAATACTGCCCAAGAGCAGTTTGAAGATTTAGAAGTTCAACATTTTTTGACTCTATTGTGCTCATACAGTTTGCAAGTTTTTTATTCAAATCTTCAATCATTTCTTTGGACTTCTGGATTTCATTGTTGTTCATCATCCTGACTTCTTCCTGGCCTGCAATTGCCTGCTTTAAAGCTTTCTCCAAATGTAATATTTGAGCCTTTTGATATTCCTTACTCTGACGAAGTTCTTCAATGATCTTACTATCTTCATCCATTTTTTCTGATTCTTCAGATTCCTAGACAGTAGAAGAAGTTTTTAAGGACTAAGAACTTGATAGCTTACATTTACTTCAATACCATGCAAAGGATCACAAGATCCAAACAACACATAATACCATGACAATATAATAATTATCATTCTCTTTATATGGAGAAAACAGAATTGACACAGCAGACATGAGTGCAGAGCATCAGATTTGGCATGGAAATTTAGAGAGTTAAATTTTGGGATAGGAAATTAAATTTACTAAAATATCAATGTATCTCCAAAGGATTCCAGAAGACAAACCATTAAATCATTTTTGCCGCATGCAATAGTTGGAAACTTTGACACAAGGGTTTGAAATGTTATCGGAGATGGATTTATTAATGAACTAGCATATCAAAGTATCTCTAGAACTCCAGAAGAGCAACAATCAAATCATAACAAATGTATGCACCAGTTAGATTCTTTGTCCAGAAATTTTGCTGTGATACTAAGCATAATTGTAAAATAAGTAAAGCAGTGATTGCATTCTTATCATTTTTATTTATTTTAGTACAGTTGATCATTGACATCCCTAAGGTCATGCCAGTTTTATGGACAATAGAGCACTTTATGGTGTGGCATATCAGAACTGTAGAATGGAACTTGAAAAATTAGCGAAAGTCAGCAACAGATCAGAGCAATAAACTGAAGTAATGGAGCCATATGAGATTACAATAGGAAATGACAATTTTAGAAATAGCAACCTTTTCCAACAAATGCTGCTTGAGACGGGCCAATTGTTGCAATGCTTTGTCCTTTTCACGGCGTGTTTCCATCAAATCTCTCTCCAATTTTTGCAACAATAGCTCCATGTCTTCCTTCCTAGGAGAATTTGTAGTTGAATCCACTTTCTGGGAGAGATTAATGACAAAGACGAAATATGAGGATGATAGTGATACAACTAATAAAATGGGCAGTAAGAATATTTCTTTCTCTCAAGTAACTACCACATGTGTGCATAAGAGGTAGATATAGCCTGTGTGTGGGAATTTGTGGGAGTGCGCCCACATATATGCATGGAGAGAGAGAGAGAGAGAGAGTAAAATTACCCCATCTGGAGAAGTTTTGTCAGAAGAAGAGTTCCTGCTCCTTTGCAAAACAGCCTCAAGTTCATTCTTTGCCATCTAAAATAGAGTATAGGTGAGAAATTAAGGAGCCCAACATGGCAAAAGCATTATGAATTTTTGTGACATACATGGCACACTTGCATGGATGACATTTTAAAATGAAACTAACCTTGAGATTAGCATTTTCCTTCTCTAGGGTTGCAATGACTCTTTTCAAACTCTTCACACTGTCATTGGAATCTTCATCTTCCCGCCTACTCAACTCTATCTGCAATTGTCTTATCTCTGATGTTTTTTCATTTAATTCATCATGAATTTTGCTCACATCTACTGAGGTCTGTAAATGGAAAAAACATGCCGACAAAACAAACAAGTCAGAGCTAAAAACAAAAGGAAAGTATAAAGAGTCACGTGTATGTTCATGCATAATAAGAAAAAGAAAGATGTTATAACATAAGCAGCACTGCCAGAAGCATAAAATAATATAGAGAAAAGGAACTTAAAGTACCTAAACTGACAGGTAGTAACGAGATGACCCACAAACATGCACATGACTACATTCTATAGAAGTACAGAAATGTTACATGAATGCAATATAGAATGTACATATTTTCAGAAACTCCTAAATTCTGAAGGGCTCCTCAGTGAAAAGGACAGAGAAAGAAGAAATCAAAGCATGATAAGATAAACCTGAATGCATGCATGGTATAATATTCTGTTGAAATTATGAGCATGTAATACGATAAAGCACTCCGACTATCCATGTCTTTTCCCCAAAAAAATAGCAATTAATAGGTCGGTTCCGTAAACTAATGCCCTCAGCCTTCTCAAGGAACATCAGAATTTCCTGGTACTTCCCAATCAGGAAAAATTGGACAATTATCCTACCAACATAAGGTAAGAACATTAAGTTTCATCTCACTACCCCCACACAGATTGGTAAAATAGATCTATATATCAACAATATCTCACTAACAGTGACTGGTGCAACAAGCTTGTACCAGACATGGTCAATATGCAACAGCTGCAACAGCTGAGAAAATGATCACTAGAGCAATAGAATCATCATAAATTTGAACTCACTTTGTGCTTGTCCATTTTTAGAATCCTGATCTCCTCCTGAAAAGATTTGTTAAAACTTTGTTCCTCTGAATAATTTTGGAGACGACAAACAAAAAAGGCAGACAAGAGTGAAAAATTTTGGTAAGTAATTCAAGCAAAACCAAGAAGAATTCAATAAAACAAAAGGAAAGCAACATATTAGATTTTTAAAGGGAATGGTCTCACCTTGTAATTTTATCTGTATACTTGCTAATTTGTCACGTTCTTTTTCAAGCTCAGTTCTAAGCTCTTTTATTTGCAACTCATGAGTAACTTGCATTGCTGCCAGGGACCTATTTTTCTCCTCCAAAAAATCTGCAAGCTCCTAGAAGGCATTCATATATCTGTTGTCAAGTTCATTCATTTAAAACACAAATAAATGAAAAACACTATCTGCAAGTAGACAAGTACAAAAAGGGTGATCTACTGCTGAGTTCGTTCTTCAATTAGAACACACCAAATAATAGGAAAAAAAAATAAAGGGATTTGTATTGTGATATAAGTTAAAAAAAAAGGCAGGGCAAGTGAGGGAAAAGGGAAGGTACACCCACAAGTTTAAATTTTATGAACCAAGCACGGCAGGCAAAGCAATTAACAACTGACAAGAACAATCCTCTTCCAGAACAGAACAGGGTGCAATTTGTCATTACCTTGTCCTTCTTGGCTTCCATCTTACTCTGAATCACATCAGGTTGAACGTCATGTAATATTCCATTGCCCATTCCATCATGTTTTGGAAAGACTGTGTTCTGTATTTGATTTCCACCACGGTTTTTTGCTTGAGTTGAAGATTTATGTGGTTGTTTGGGTGATTGATCGCCACTTCCCTGTAAGAATATCAGCCTTACTTTTCAGCTTGTTGGAAGGAAAAACAAGACAAAACATATAACATGGTATTTTCAACCCATAGCAGGAGAATCATACTCAGAAACAAATATTTTGCATAAAACAATAAAGCCAAAAACTGAATAGAGAAAGAAAGACAGGCCAAGTTCCAGACCAAAAAGCGAACATCCAAGACGGCTTATTTCACGATGGACAAAGGAAATATTTAAGGCTGGCATAACTCTGATATATGTAAATACTAAGATCAACAATCCATTGTAAGCTTAACCTATCCTTAACTCTTTTATTTCACTGTAAATAGATAAAAGTAGTATAGAAGTCGTGTAACATCATTTTTTATATGTCCCGTCAAGAGTCATGTTGCAAGAGATGCGCTTATATTTTCGATACTAACTAGTACCTCACCTAGATCATATGATGGACAACTACCAGGAAGAATGAAAATGAGCACCATACATTGTTTCCGTTCAAAATGTTAAGGTGGTCAAAACTTTATTACGCTAAATCACACCAGAGTACTCAATTGGCTGATCCCGATTTTATACAAATATTAATTCGGCAAGCTTAATGGGACAACTAGGGAACAACTCAGTAAAGAGGGAATAAGATGGTCAGATAACCATGTACCAAAACTTACCGCGTAATACAAACTGCCTTTTTCCTAGGTAAAAAAACATGCACAATAACTGCAGCAAAAATAACATCACACAGTATCGTGCGGTCAAGTTTACTTGGATATAAGTAAAGTATCAGAGATGATTGGAGATGATTGGCGCTGACCAAAGTACTGTGAAACTTAATAGTGTGTGTTCATTGATGAGTAAAAAATACATGAATCCTAAAACTTTCAGTTCAATTAATGAATTTTAATTGAGATTCAAATAACCACCTGGATTGCATTGAAGCTACTCGTTGATGCTCTTAGATGCTCATTTCTAGACACATTGAGAGCCTCCTTTGTCGCATCCAAATTTTGCTTCAATGAACCATTTTCTTGGTTCAATCGAGAAATCTGATCCTGTAAAATTGGAATAGAAGAGCAACAGATTTAATTCGTCAAAGGCCCTTCAACATAGAACTAACAGAAACTAGGATGCGTTAATTGAGAGATAGTAAGCCGAAAAGATACTCTTGATTCCTAGAAAACAATCATGAGAAACATGAAGCTAAAGATTACATGACTTTAATAAATGAAACCCCAAAATGAGCAAATTAGAACAAGGGTTGATAACTCCAAAATGAAAAGAATGTGACAGTAATTCTGGATATGTTAAGTCTATTGCCAGTAAAAAAAATTTATTTAATAAAAATTGAAGGTCCAGCATAAATAGAAAAGTACATAGCATTTAAATGTCAGCGTGCACTTTGCACCTGCAAGCTAAAGATATTTTTATCGTTCATCAGTAATTATTTTCATTTTTTATGTTTCAGACATAATGAGAAAAGGCACTGAAAAAGCTTGCCAAGGAATCACTGTATTTCTGCAACAACTACAATAAATAAATAAATAATCAAACAAAGAGCCATTGATCATGTACCTCCTTTTCTTTTAATATAGCTGCATAATTCACTGATAATGCTTTAATCTCCGCCTCAGATTCCTGAAGCCTTTTGATTTGTGCTTTGTACTGTTCAATCTACAAGAAGAATGCTATGAACATCAACCTATGAAAATCAATTCGTTTTAACCTTCCTTCACAAATAAACATTTTGAGCCTAAACTACTTCCATTTACAGCTATCATTGGTCCAAATACTTCTATAATAATCAACCACAAGTCTCGAGCAAAACAGAAGCTCGCCTGCTTTCTAGCACGTTATTACAAAGTAATCAATGATTTGGCGATCACACCATTCAATTGAAAGATAAATTAATTGCAGTTTGCTTTACAACTAACTGAAGTTAGGATCACAAATTCCCTTATTAATTAACTAACACGATAATTCGTAGATTTCCTTTGATTCTTAATCGAAATTCAACCAACAAAAATCAATAACAAGTGATTGCGATTTCAATAACGAAATAGAAACCGTTATCAATAATTAAATCACGGAAACACATTAAACAACGAATACCTCGAAATTGTACGGTGAGTCATTCCCATTCGCAATAGGGGACCGTGAAACCGACTTCGAATGCGCGAAACGGTGTGAATTTCTCTGATCAGAGACCGAAGAGTTGTAGCCATTGCTGGAAGCATAGATCTCGAGCTCCTCCTCGTCGTCGTCGTCTTCGTCATGCACATCAAGTGCAATCTTATTTAGATTTTGCTTCAAATTCTCGATGGAGCTCCACATCATTCACAAATTAGAACAAAAAAAAAAAAAAAAAGAAGAAGAAGAAATAGTTATGATGGTAATTAAGGTTTGGTGAATTTAGAGTGAGAGAAGATTGGGGGTTTTGTAGGTAGATCTGAAATGTAAAGGTGCAGAAGGCAGAATATTTGGTTTTTAATGAAAAGATAGAGCAATAATAACAATAATAATTTACTTGTTTTTTGGGAGACAATAAACTGCGTTACGTGAGAGAAGTTATGAATCTGACTCTCGTATGATTTGGCCGCTTGTGAGTTATTATGTGATTTTAGGCGATCAAAGGGCTAGTGTGCTCCGTTGCCTCTTGTAATTCTTACCTCCAGTGGAGAGCCGACGGGGGTAAAGGTCATGACGGAAAAGAGTATTTGTCTTTTTATTTTAAAGCAAGTTAAAAAAAAAAAAACAAAATTAATTATGTTTATTTGTGCGAAGAAAACACTACTATTGTATTATATTTTTTCTTTTGAGAGACATTAATTATGTTTTCTTTCAGCATGCAATCGGCATTATTATATGTATATTTATATCCTTGCTGAAAATTATCTTTTTTCTTTATAAGAAAAAGTTATTTCTTAAATAAAATAGTAAAACCTAGCCGGTTGACCATGCTCAACCGCGGATCGATAGAACAAAATTATTTTAAAATTTTAAAATTTTTTAATTATAATATTTTATTTAATTATTTGTTTAATGTTTTTATAATTTTTTTGCTTAAAAAAACTTAAATCATTCTTCTTTATAGATTGATTTTAAAATTAAAAATTATAATAATTTTAACTAAAATATTAATCAAGAATTGAAAAAAAAAACCTTTAAAAATAGAATTTTCATAATATTTTATTTCAAAAAATAAAGTTATAATTAATGGATAGACTTTTATAAAAATTAACAAATGAAAAAAATTCTTATTTAATGGTGATGAGAAAATTAATTTTTAAAATTATTCACGCAACGCTATGAGTATATAGAAGAAAATTATTTCAAAATGTTATAATTTTTTTATTAAGATTTTTTTATTTAATTATTACTATTTTTTGTGTGTTTTTCATAAATTTATGCTTAAAAAATATGATTTATTCTTTGTTATTCAGGGATTTTTAAATGAAAACTTGTAATAATTTAAACCTAAAATATTAATTAAGAATTCAAAAACAAATACTTTAAAATTATATTTTTTATAAGAATGTATTCAAAAAATAAAGTTACAATTAATCTATAGACTTGTATAAAAATTAACCAATGAAAAAAAAAATTCTTATTTAATGTTAGTGAGAAGATTATTTTTTTCAAGTATATGCATTTGATCTATATATATATATATATATACACACACACACACACACACACACACACACACACACACAAAATAATCAATAAAATTAGCATAAAAAACAGTATTTGAATAATTGGTTGGTTCCTTTAAAAAATTATTTTAATTATTTTATTCAAATAATTTTGTTCTATAATGTTAAAAAAATATTTATAATAATAATTTTTATTATGTTGAAAGATGTATAGTTAATTTTTAATAAAATTAACGATTCAATAATTTTTTTATACGACTTGACCATAGCTAGTAAATTGAGACAAATCATTTGAAATATACTTTTAAACTTTTAGAATAAAACATATATATGTGTGTGTGTGTGTGCAATTATCATTTAAAAATTATAAGAATTCATGATATATATTATACTAATTTATTTTTTATAAAAGAAAAAATAATCATATTTTAAAATTCAAATATAGAGAAAAATAAATTATATAATATCAATAAATAAAATTTCATATAAAAAATATTAATTGGATGAGAATTTTAATTAAAAAAATGATAAATTCAAAGAATGAAATTTAAATAATAAGAGTAATATAAGGTGAAATATATGTTAATTTTAAAATATAAAAAGATATATTATATAATCATCAGTTTATGTGGAAAAAAGTTACGATTAATTTTCAAAATTTTAACACCCAATTAAAAAAGAACATAAATTGATGAAAAAAACAATGAAAAATTAGATTTTTCAAAATTTTAACACCCAATTAAATAAAAAAAAGAATATAAATTTATGGAAAACAATAAACAAAAAAACCAAAGGAAAAAAGAAAAAAGAAAAAAAAGCATGTGTAGTGCATTAATTAGGAGATTAAAATTTTTATTTTAAATTTTTAGGGAGCAAAATGAAACAATTTGAAAATCACAAAAAAAAAAAAAAAAAAAACACTTAAGCTACAGTACAGTAATTCAATGTTCAAATGAAGTAAATTACTGTTACTTTATCCAAGATGTTTTAGCTTTTTAGGTAATAAACAAGTGTAAAAAAAAACCTATGCTAGGTTTACCTTTTAACCAATAAATAAATAAATTTATAAGCTCAAACCAACCATTTTACTATTAAAACAAGTGTTTTGTTCATGATTGTAGCATTTAACAAGTAAATCTTACTAGAATAGTGTTAGAAATAAATTTTTGTTAATGTTCATAAAACTCCAAACTTTTTTTAGATTATGTTTTATATAAGAAATTTTATACTTGCTATGTTTTGAAGTAGGAAATTTAAAATTGATTGATTTTTACTATAAATGGTTTTATAATGAAGAAAATGTTCTTTTTTCAGCTGTGATTTTGATTTTTGAACTTAAATTGCTCAAATTGCTCACGAGAGATGGAAAATCTATCGAAGTGGTTTATTTATTTTTTAAAAATAAGTTTCAAAAGGTGAATGTTTTGAAAAATATCTTGAAACATTGACTAACATTTCAATAAACTTCCCAATAAACTTCACAGAGACAGAAACTCACATCAACATAAAATTTACGATTTTTTTTTTTTTTAATTTTACAGCTTGAATCTCTCAAAAAACATTATTAAAAAATAAAAATAAAAAGACCATTTTGTTCTTTAAAATAGTCTTTAAGGACTCCTTGTAACATCATCATACCTTTCATAGTATTTTCTTCAGATATTTTTTGAAGTTACCCAATTTCATCAATTAAAAAGATTGGAGATGATTTCACACCTTTTGAAAAAACACATGAGTTACAATAACCCTCTAAAATTCACGGAATTACAAATAAAAACCAATATTTAGAAATTTTTTCAAACTCCATTTTTAAGAAAATACTATAAAAACCTTTTTACAATCGTAACGTTTTTATAATTATTATTTTTTAAAGACTTTTAAAAATAGAGAAACATTAATAAAAAAATGCAAGCCAAGATTGACCAAAAAGCAAACAGTAATTGAGAAATTTAATATTCTTTTTATATATAATTTTTTATTATTATATTTTTCTTAAATTAGTAATTAAGAAATTTAGATTTAAAAATGGAAATTTCTGTTAATTTTTCAAACTGCTATTCCGAAAAAAATAAAAACCTTCTTTTTCTTCGATATTGGGCTTTTCAGGGCCTTCCTGTAATTCTAGCGTCTGTAAGCTTTTAAGCTCGGACAGCCCAATCCATAAAATGAAAAACAAACAGTCCAATCCAACGATCCACACACATCAGATTTCCTCGCCTCTACTATATAATGAGCCATCCATATGGTACATCCAGCGTTGTTGCCATTATAATAGATCAGAAATCTAACTAGGGTTAGGCATTTCATGGCCATCTTTCTGCCCTTTCCTCCGTTTTTCCTCTCTTTTTATCTTGTTGCATGTTTGCGGTAGATGCGATGATGATAGCATAGTAGAGAATAATCTTTGATTGTGTGTTGGTTTCATGACCTACACGCAATATGAGTCTTTTTCTGGTTCGTATTCACTGAGCATCTGTGATTTCCTGTATTTCTATTTTCTTTGCTGTTTTAGGTCTGAAGTGGATTTAAAGTATTTGCTACGAAGGTACCTATGGAGGGGGTGCTATAAAAATGCACTCTTTGACCAAGTTTGCCTTCGAAAATTAAAATCGAATAACTGATTTTGCATGAACCATAATCTATTTCATGTGATTTTGAGTTCATAGATCTGAATTCGTACAATTATTATTGTATTTGAAATTTACTCTTCGTTTTAACCTCTGATACAATGCGAAGGTCCCAGCAGGGGGTAAGAAACTCTATAAATTGAGGCCCCTCTAACAATAATAAAAATGCCTTCGTAGATTAATTTGCCGAATCGTAGGATGCCCGGAGTTTCCCATGATTGGGTGTCCGGAACCCTCGGCTAAATGTCAATGTCATGTCCTCCATCTCTTTGTTTTATCTCGATTTTTCAATTGAAAAGGCCATCTTCCTTAAAAATAACCATTTTTTTCCCTGAAGTCGATTTATACTCTATGAATCGGCGAGGCTTAGTGTGACTTACCTTTAAATCTTGTGAAAGCTAAGAGGACTCTGGATCATGGACAAAGTACCATTGGAGAGAACTTTTTCTCCGAAAAGAAGTTTTGATGGGAGGAAATCACATGATGTAAGAAGATTAAAAGGAAAATTGTTAGATGTTACAACAGCCAGATGCTGATAACTTAATATGAGATACTATAACAAGTTGGTTCAATATGAGATACTATAACAAGTTGGTTCTCAAATAAATAAATGAGGTCATTTTTTCAGTAAACAAGGCTTGCTGGAGAAAGATTAAGAAATTCAGGAGAATACCTTTTTAAGTTTGAGAAATATTCTATAACTAATAGATATAAGCTAATATTTGGCGCAATTATTTGATATAACATACAGTGTAATAATGGTGTCTAGCAGTTAGCGTTTCAAGCAAATTTCGAAAATTTCTACAATAAAAAAAGGTAGGTTGCTAGGATAGTTGTCTATCTATAATGCTGCTAGTTCTTAAAATTTTTTAGTAAAATTTATGAGGAACCCAACCTGAATCTCTTGGATGTATAGAATAAATAAATTTATATAAAAAATAAATAAATAAAACAGGTAAGATTTTGAATGTATTATTTTACTTGAGGACAAAATAACAAAATTTTAATTGGATCGGTGGATCATTTCTCGGTCATTCATTGAATGATAAGTCACTACAAGTGACGGAGATCCATTTTGGGGCTGGATATCCTACTCATACCATATATGCAGTAAAATTTTCTGGTCAACGATGAAAGTTTGCAGAACTAAACGTAGCTGCATAGAAGTTCCAAGTTCCTCCACAGTGAACCCAGTATAATTATTCCTAAAGACCAAAAACCGAGAGTACTTGGTTGCGACTCATTCCAGGGTCATTTAGGCCTAACGAGGTAGGATGCCCATATACCATCTGCCGGAGGTGGTGCCTGAACCCAGTGCCCTGGTATGCAGCTGCACTCAAGTTCCACAGACAATTAGGATGAAAAAGAAAAACTACACACAGTTGGTAAAGTGTGCGTGTGTGTGAACTGGGACAGTGGTAAAATGTAGCTTCCAGCAAAAAGAATGATTGGCACACTTACCTTCCTCCTGGTCTTATATACGCATCCCATGTTCTTCTGACCTGCAAGCAATAAAAACTTTACGATCAAGTGGATCTCACAGCGATCGACAGTCCAGAATGACACATCCACGTAGCATTATAATTATGGCCATTCGGAGCTCAGTCAATCGAGCTAGTAAACTTGTACTGTGCTAACTGAACAGACAAACTGCTATATCCTAAATTCTGTAAGAAACAGTGTATCCTGCTAAGTGAAAAAAATCAGTCGAAGTGGTAGCTGAAAATCACCTCAATAAGTGTCCCCATATCATTATTGCTACCATGATAATAGTGGTAGAATTCAATTGGTAAATTTGCTATGGAATCATATGCTCCACCATAAATTTGACCTTTAGATCCTTTTTCTTCGGATGGACCAGGGACTGTACCAGAGCCTAAATTGTCCTTGCTCTCATTTATTTCATCATTACTTTCCTTCATTCCATCTTTATAATCACTTGCATCTTTTGAGTGCAGTCCACCACTCTGGATTGTTTTCCTAGATTCCTCAGCAGTTGCAATGGCATCCTTGGCAGCATCTGTTTCAGCTGCAGCCATTGCTTGGCGCTCTTCTTCCTCAACAGCAGCTCGAACTCTCTCAAGAAACTTGTCATCCTCCTCTGGGAGAAAATGTCCTGCATACAACCAACCATAATTAAAGGTAAAAAATAGACAATATGACACTATATGAGCATAGACACCATATACATTACACAAATGCGTGCACTTATGGAATATGGAAAGAAAATACAAGACCCATAAATCAACGAGTTTCACAATCACTAACAAAGACAAAAGAGTCTCACCTGTCTATTTATAATGACTATACTTCAGAGCAAGCTTTGAAGTTTTGTTTTTGTTGGTATAATTGTCATATCACACCTCGTAATGGTCAAAGGGTATTCATAATAATATTCACAAGGAAAAATGCATACATTTGAACTTGCAAAAACATTTTCCAATCCCACTTTAAACACAAATGCCACATCTGATGCATCAAGCGTACACTAGCTGAAAACCATACTAGGTGAAATTAGAAATGTATTTAAAATGGCAAATGTCATATTGATTTAGGACTGGAAAAAACAAATCACAAGGGGGGGACATCACAGCAGGCATGTACACAGTAAATAAAAAGCTTAAGAAATTTATCAAGCATACCTTGTTTCTTCAATTTTTGAATCCTGATGGAACGCAATTCTTTCAACTTCTCCACAACCAATACCAACTCAAGCTGAAATGTTTAAAATTACTTAAGATCAGACACCGCCAGTAAAAGAGAATAACCAGCTCAAAGAACAGAAACAACATAATAATAGATGTGTGTTTTGAATTGGTGCAGTACTCTAAATGGTCCAACGAGTGCTTTATTAACTCTTTACTAAGAGTCAACACTCACTGCAAGCTCTTACCAGCAGAAATGCAGGAATTAACATGTGCCAAGAGATTAGCTACCAATAACTTTGAGCTTCGTAAAATAATTACAAGCCAGAAAGCAGACATATCAAAAAAGTTCTTTGTTATGTAATTAATAAACTGACTACTCAAGTCTTTTGTTATATAATGCATCTACAAAGAATGAGATATCAAAATATTAGATCCCAACATATCAAAGCACAATGTGAGTGAGATGATATCAACTTAAGAAGATGTTGAAGTCTAAGAAAAAAAATACAAAATTGTTGATGTAGGATGTTTCTTAAATTCTCACCTCAGATTCTAGCCTCTTCCTCTCTTCTTTTTCTTTAACCTTTGCAATTTCTTTCATCGTTTCCACCTGCAACCATGCATGCATAAGTTAATAACCTTATGCAAACTGCAGATACAACTGAAATCAACATGGTGACGTGATCTTAAAAAAAAAAAAAAAAAAAAAAAAAAAACCATGATGGCATGATAGTCATAAGTACTCCACTGTTCAAAGTAGATATTTAGACAAGCTTAGAATAACATACATTTAACATGCCACCATCAACCAAAAGAGTTGTAAGACCATGTTGTTTCTATGGAAATCTCATATTTTGTCTCCCAGATGTGTCCCCCTCTTTATGTTGAAAACAAAAGAAATGGAAAATACAATGAACACCATAAATAAACCAATGGAACATAATGAATCGAACCTATTATACATAAGAGAAAAGGCAATCATGCTTAAACTTCATGTACCTAGAGTACTGAAATGGAATCAATGTGCACAAGTTGAACTTCTAGCAGCAATTATAACTATTTAACATATGGTTCTTTCAAGCAAGAGAAGCATGAAAGTTGCGGGTTGCTTGCATGCTTGTTAACAGAAATAAACATATATGTTATTTTGGGTATCTTACACCATCGATCTTGCAGAGTCATTCAAGTTTGTTTGGAATATTTGCACAATAAATTTTATTGAAAACTACATTTTGAGACACAAATCCATTCTCTGGTCTTCAAAGCAATCAACTAGAACCCTTTAATCACCTCAGTAGCTCTTTTAACTGGTTTTAAGGCAGGGGACAAAATCTTACATTGTTCATCTAAATTCTAATGCCTCAATGTGCCTTTTGCTTCCAGGGAAACTGACAAAAATCTAAGAGAAATATCAATGATATGATGACTTCAGTTAAAACAACAAATTCTTGGCAAGTAGGAACCAATGACATCATTGGTTTCTTAGCTGACTCTACCCTAATCCAGTTAAAGTACAGTGGATCATACAAGATAACTCCTCGACCTTAGAGAAACGCACAGCATTTTGAGTAATTAGCACCTACAGGAAGAGAAATAGATGACTATACCAGTTTCAAACAGAAAGCTTCCATTACCTTGAGTTGTGCAGCATCTTTTGAGATCTCCCTAGCCCTCCACTCATCAGCTTCACGATCAGCTTGATTAAATTGTTCATGCTCCTAAACATCACAGCAACTACAATGAGAGGGAAAAAAGGAAAAAAAAAAAATACTAACAGAGGCGAAGGCTATAATAAACCAAGTAAAACCACCTTTGCCTGAATTTCTGCAGCACGTTTTCTCTTCCTCTTCCTCCAAAGTTTATTACGCTTGGACTTCAATATTTTATTAGACAACCTAGCTGCTGCTGATTTCTCTTCCCATGGAGTGGCAGCATCTACAATAACTCTAAATGGCTCTAATTGAGCTCTTAATCTTGACATCAATGTGTTTGCAGCATTTACTGAAAGTGATTCCTGTGTTTCCAAATAAATTTTCCTGTCTTCCAAATACTTGTAAAACCCATCAGCATAAGGGTCAGCAGACTCCCTTTTCCCATTTTCCACAGACCCTTCATCACCTTTCATTGCCATCAACATCTCAAGTTCTTTCTGCCTGATAAGAATAGCAAGTTATGATAAACCATGTTGCAAGAAGCAGAGAACGGACAAAAAAAGCCCCATGGTAACTTCATATCCAGATCAAGCATTTAAATTTAAAATCGAAAGTAACAAGTAAGTACATTGCTGTAGCTAGATTCAAAGTGTCTTGTAACTCTTTCAGCCGATCATGAGCATTTTTTGTGTCCCAAAAAGGAGTCGACTGCGGTGGATTAGGGGGTAACATCGGGAACCAAGGAGGAGGTGGTGCAACAGGAGTCACATGAAAAGGAACCGGATTCATGGCTGTGAAGAGAATTAAAGATAAAATGAAACAAATGTTATCAATCACCGAAATAATTGCGGAAAAAAGATTGTTTTAAGTTTTAACCCTAACTACCATTGCCACTCACTAACAAATTTCACAACTTAATACACAGAGAGGATTGAGAATGAAGGATTACACGAATCCAAAACACACAGTTTGTGCTCCATTGTAAAATTATGCATTCATGTTGCTCTTGTTCTTATAAGTTCAATTAAGCACCGTAATCACGGGTGGCACAGAGGTTTTGTACAAAGGAAGCGATTGAGAATCAATGGTTTCACCATTGATCACATACCAAGTTAAGAAATAGTATAACAGTTTTCTTTAATGTTTTAGCTGAACAATAATATATAAACGATAGCGCAAATGACATTGAATGAGAATTAAAAAAAAAAAAAAGGAGTAATTTGTACGTACCTGTTTCCAATTTTACAAAGTTGAGATCACTCTCAAGTTGTGAAATAAACTCCACTGAAAGGACAATCTTCTGAAATTTTGTTAAATACGAAAACAAGAGGCCCCGAACTTAAGCTACAAATCAAATACTCCCTGAACAAAAAAATCCTAAATTTGTCCACCTTAAATTACTTCAATTTTTAAAATATAGTCTCTTCCGTTAATTAGGTTAGGTTTCCGTAAGAAAATTGAAGCTAAATTCTATTTTGTATAAAATACTAAATTTGGAAACTATAAAAGAATTTCTTAACACACGCCCTAAAAAAATAAAAAATAAAAACACGAATTTCTCCCCTCTCTCTCTCTTTCAGCAACATACTATTTTCTCTTCGAATTGATTTCACCATTGGTGGCCAAACTATTTCTCCATACAGATCGAGACAGAGAACCTCTCGACTGAACCGCCGCCACCAAAGAGGCACTCACTGTCTCCGCTGCTCTCCACCACCTATCTGAACACCGCCGTCGCTGCTACCAACGGAATCTCCACCATCAACAACGCCAACCTCTACCACTATTTTAGCTTTAATTGGTTTTCCAGCTCATGAATTTTTTGAAGTTCGAAATTTCTGGAATTTCTTTTTGATTTGAGACAGATGAGAGAGTATGGGCAGTGAGTTTGGTTTTGAAGATTTAGAAGAATTGGGTTATGGCCTTTCAAGGACAAGAGTAATTACTGGAAATTAAGAACAATTATGGAGGATTTTTAACAGTTGGTTGGACGGTGCTGCATATGCGGGAATCAAAGAGATGAAAAGCAAGAAATATAGGATTTTGTTAAAAAAAAAAAAAAAAAAGCTAATTTAATTTAACTTCATTTCCACTGATGGTTTGAAGCTTTTATTTCATCATTTTTATATTTTATCATATAGAAAACCATGCTTACCAACTGCATTTTTAACACGTGTATTTAGATTTATTTGCTTTTCGACAGAAGCCTAGCTTGCACTGGTAGAAAGGGTGCATTCAAAAAAATTATATTGTCTATCGGGGTGAAAATTTTTAGATTTTTTTGGGTTTGTGAGGGTATTTGATTTTTCGCTCAAATTCAGGCCTTATTTATTTATTTATTTATTTGGCCAAAATAAAATCATGCAACAAATAGAAATTGATAAATTAAATATAGTTAAGATTAGTAGCATCAAGGTCAGGATGGCCGAGTGGTCTAAGGCGCCAGACTCAAGTTCTGGTCCTCGTGAGAGGGCGTGGGTTCAAATCCCACTTCTGACAGGTTTTTAGAAATTTCATCAGCTCTTTTTGTTTGGGCTTCCATTTTTGGGCTAATTTTTTTTTCCATAGCCGTAGTTACATTTTTCTAATTTAACTATAATTTAGTTCTGTAGTTTAAAAACTACACCTTTTTGGCGCGTCCATTGCTTGGCTAATGATTTTCTCCGTAGCCCATGTTTCAGCGGCCATTTGCGCTAACTATAATTTAGTCCTGTAGTTTTAAAAACTACGCGTTTTGAAAATTTACACATTTTTTGGGATTCCATTGCTGGGCTAACGATTTTAGAGTTTTTTTCCTTAAATAGAGTACATTTTAATCTATTTTTTTTAAAATAAAATATTTTAAATCTTATTTATAAAAATAAGATAGTTTTATCGTATAGGCATCTATGTCATTTTTTAATTAAGTGTTATAATATATATTTAATATAATAATTAAAAAAAATTAAAAACATAAAAAAAAAAAAATTAACTTAGGTTCTCTGTCTCTTTTTTATTACCTTTATCTTAATTTCTTATAAGTTTCAATACTCTCACAAATCAAAACAACAATTATTAGAAAAATACCCCAATTAGTGAATCTTACATATAAGTTTCGGCTTGAAGCTGCACAAGTGCAGAGGGTATTGTAGTTCTTATCATTACCTCCAAAGGATAACAACAAACAGAAAAGCAATGCGTGAAAGGTAAAAGTTTGTGGGCTCTCGCTTGATCTTTTACTTTACCGACAGGATATCCTTTTGAATAAGAAAGAGTTGATGCCGGAATCACCAAATACAAATATAACTCTTTGCCGGAATTTCTTATTCATTTATTGGGGTGTTTTGGAAGAGAGAATCTAAAAAAACTATACTACTGTCAGAGAAAGAAAAAACGTCTAATGCATTTTTATTAAAATAACAGAAATTCACACTGTCATCGACGTACAGGCTCTCCTTTATCCCTTCAATTTACAATCTAAGGGTTCAAAATACCCAAGACTCTAATGTATAAATCACATTATTGCTCTTGGGAAAAATTGAGCATATTACGGGATTCTCCCAACAAAAGTACTTGAGAATCCCAGCCCATTATCAGAGTTTCTTGTTTTTTTTCCCTTTTCCTACTTGAAATTTTATTGAATTCCTGCCCACACTTATCCTTTGTTTGTGGACTGAAATAGCAACTAATTAAACAGCATTCTGAAAAAGAAAAGAGAAACTAGCACTTGAATATCAATACATAGTACTTAATTATGATATGATCATTTGCCATTAAGCACTTCTCTCAAGCATCTCTCGATACCTCTTGAAAGACTAGCTTCTGCAAACGCATCTACTTGTGAAAGAGATTTTTGACTGTAAAGAGAAGATGACTTAATTTTTTAGAAAAAAAAAACTGACATGTTATTTTATATATATAAAAAAAAAATCTGACATGTCATTGTATTTAATTGAAATGAATTCTATTTGGCATATAGTACCTTATTATAGGAAATAAGTTTAAAACTACTTTATTACAAGAAATAAGATTTAAAAGTACCATTTAAAAAAAAAAAAAACTCAATGATTTTCTCCATGCCCCAAGTTTGGGCAGTTACTGTTTTCTGATTTGCGTTAACTACAATTTAGTCCTGTAATTTTAAAAAATGCATGTTGAATCCTTGTATACTAAAATCTGTTTATAACTTAGTCTTTTTGTCAATTTTATGTATTTTTTCCATTTATTTTGTTATTTTCTTTTTGAAGAAATAGAAAACAGATAAGAGAAACAGATAAAAATGATGAGAAATTGAAAAAAAAAAAAAAACTAGTCATTGACTATGAGGATTCATTAATTAATTTAATAAACTACAAGGACTATATATATTATAACCAGATCTTCTAATTTTATATATCGTTTGTTATAAAATTCTTGCCACCGAGGCTAGAAGACTTTCTTGTGCTACCCATGGGTGCCATTGAGAGTTTGCAGTTTTTTTTTTTTTTTTTCTCTTCTTAATACAATTGAGTATTTTTTTTTCCTTCTGAGAATGTACCCTTTTTTTAATTTCTGTTGAGACACAACACAGCTAATTTATCTATTGTTTCATATCAAATAAAAGGTAGCGAATCCATAGACGCTTCTAGTTCTAGGCATAGGCCGGGCCTTATAATCCAAATCTGAGAAATAGCACAGTCTACATTCATTTTGATAATAAGACAGTGATAAGTTGAAAACACGAGCCAAGCCCAAATTATTGGTTCCACAGGTCGGTTAAGGAGGGAAATTTTATGAGCAATTATTTTGAAACGTTAAATTTTAGCAAGAGAAACCATCCTCAAAGTGGCAAATATTTTTGTGCTGTTTCATTTGTTTATCAAAATGTTTGGAGGATTTGGTCAGGGCAATGAAATTAAAATATCTCACAAATAAGTTTTTTTAAAAAAAATTATTTTCTGTGTTTTTAGAATCTCGTCGATATGAAAAATTTTTGTAAAAGTTTTCTATTATTTACGTGAGGGGTATGCTTAGAAGATTTTCAGTTTCCTAATGGCATGATCTACAGGTGGGAGAGTTTACATTTGGAGAATTGGGTAAGGAAAATGGAAGTTCAATATCTCGCGAATAAGTTTCTTTTAGATTAACCCAACGCACCCTCTAACTAGACATGTTAACGGTTCGGTTCGAATCGTAAACCGAACCAAAATCAAATCATTAAAAAATTGAAATGGAACAGTTAAAACCGTAATCTTGATCAAACCGGATCGTAACCGGCTATCTACAGATTGGTTATGATTTAAGGTATTATGAAACCGAACCAGACGATTAATCGTAGAGCAGAGCGGTTCCACATATTTCCTAATAAATTTGGATTAGGTCGAAAAAAATGAAAAAATTTAAATAAAAAAAAACCAATTTTATACGAGCTAGATCGTAGCTATTGGACTGAAAAATGAAAAAAAAATTAAGCCTAATAATTTTAATTTTTGGGCTTAATATATATATATATATATTTGTGACCGTTTGTCAAAACAGATCACATTTGTGACCTTTTTTTTTACCCTATAAATACACTCTCAATTTTTTCATTTTCCTCACAACTCAATCTCTCATTCTCTCTCAATTGCTTAAACTCTTAAGTCTAGAATTCTCAATACTTGTCCTATAATATTTTTTATACTCCAAATACTTCTTAAATTTTTTACATTTCTATTGTTTTATACTACAAAAAATAACAAGTTCAAGTTCACATATGCCATCACAACAAAGTAATACGCCAATCAAAATCAAGCGAGGGAGCAACAACAACAATCAAATTTTACACCTAG